GGAAAGGTTTTGTAAAAGTCAGTGGCACAAGATATTCAGAAAACTCTCAAACCAAAAGAAGTCAAACCTATGGATTTGCCAGCACAACTACTACAAGAGTTTCACACCAGCATTAGTTTTCTGTAAGAAATTGCAACCATCAATTCTTTGCATGAAAAATAAAGTGGTTCTTTAATGTGGCCTGACTGCCAATATAGCTTTCTTTATCCTCTAGTCTCAAATATTCCAAAACTTGCCAACAAAATTCAACGATGGCTGGTAAGAATTCAAAGAAATCTGAATTTCCAGTTTTCAAGGAGATGGTAAATTTTCAAGGATATTTTTCAAGGCCTGTGCAAACTGTACTTTATTAACATGTATTCCTTTATTTAATTTATTAAATCATCTAGTTCTACTATTGATGTCAATATATATATTGCTATTAAAACAGCTTGAAGCCTTTGTACATGGAATTAAACTTGCAATAGTGACACTTTTCCTTTTAAACTGACACATCAACTCTGAGAAGGGAGGGGTCAAATTCCAGTGAAGTTGCTTATACCATATCTTAATTAAATTTAAGTGTTTTCTTTTACCATTTATTTTAATATTTTCTCATCTGCCCAGAAGGTACACCATGCAAAAACATGAAAAAAAAAATTTTTTGAAATATGGGTACCCCTGGTAATATACAGCAAATTTAAATCACACTTTTGTCATTATTCGGGGTTCCTCGTATTTCAAACAAATACCTTGAAATTCTTTGTCAGGCGATGTTGGAGGTAATCACAGAAAATATATAGCACTATAGAACTCATCAAAAAACAACAGTAGGCAGCTAAAATCATAGCCTGAACCTTAGCCAGCTAGTAACCACTGTTAAAAGCTTGGTTCTCAAATTTGTTTCCCATATGTGAAAACCTCATCAATGATAATTTAAACTGGCAATTTTTTAAATCCAAGTAACAGTAGGGATTTACATTGGGGGCTATATTTGAACATAATCTAAAAATTAAACAAGCCTTTAGCCATGTAAAACATGAAAGAATTTTCAAATGTCATGAGAGGTGTAAACCCTTATTTGCTGGAGCATTCCACAGCTTTACTCATTAATTACCTGACCAAATAAATTATGATTGTACATGCATAATTTGTTCTACAGTGCAAAGAAAAAATTAATGCAAAAATTGCCTGCTCTCAACCAATCACAATGCAGTAATTTCCTGTGTTCTATTAAAATGCAAATATCATATTTCACAAATTTATCTAAATTTAATTCATTTTTTCTTTTAATTTGCATTTCCCAAAAGGCAAATCTGAAATATCTCATAGTGTACTCAAACCACTCTGAACCATGTTTTGTTGTTTGATCTGCATAAAAATTTCATCACACACAAAAACCGTCTGCACGACACATGCCACTGGCACTCTGATTTTTGAGTTCCTCCCTTACAATTTGGGTGTGTTTGCTTAGAACATGATCCATGATGTCTTAAAGAAATCATGAACATCTTGCAGTCTGTGGATTATAAAACACGCGTTAAACTCTGATCTTCTGTTTCGCAAAACGACTTTCACCATCTAACACAAAGAACAACGAAATTTGATACCAAAAATGAAAGATTAAAATCTTGTGTCTCTTCACCACGCTTCACTGGTCTTTACTTCTATGCAAAACGATCACTAGCAGTCACGACTTCAACCACCAGCCGATCTCAAGAAGGCTCCGACACGAGAGCAAGAGGGACCGACATCAAAGTGGTAAATGGCCTTGAGGGTTTGACTACAACTTTGGACAGCGGATAAGCAATTCTTATGGCTAGAGAGGAAATTGATTTTAAGGAATCCACGAAAACAAAAGCATTTGTGAAAATCACAGCACATAAACAATCCACGATCTGACGATGCACGGCAGAGAAGCCATTTTCAAAAATCGCACACCACAAACGGACCAAAACCCAACATATTTAACCTAAATGCACGATGACAAAAGACATCCGACAATAGACAAGAATAACCCTACCTTCCAGTATAGACTTGCAAACTCAATTATACTTTCAAGTTGATTCAAGTCTAAGCTCGACCCGCGAAAAAAAACGGAATAAATTAAACGAGCGCCCACGGAGCACGGGGGAATGTCAGCACCCGCTGTACGTGTTCATTGCAGTTTCAATCCATCACCCATGACAGCAATTTTTTTGGAAATTGACCCTAAACTTATCACAAAGTTTGTGCACTGTTTATATCCACCTTTCTCGTTATAACTGGTGTTACGTATGAACATTCCTACAATGTTTAAAACGCCATAACGAGATAAATCTCATCACAAAACTGACAGAGGTTCACTGTTGTGTGACAAGTCACGCAAGGCTCGTTAAACGTGGAAAGTTCAAGGGGCTTCAAAAATGTAGGCTGATGAGTTTTTGTTTTCGTACTAACATCTTGCCACGATTAAGCTATTTATAAAACTTGGTTCTCTTTCTGACCTTTCTTCAACCTGTCACTGACGTGATTGACCAGTGAGTAGTTCCCATGCTCAGTGGACCCAGTAATCACCAAGTTATGTAATGACCTTATAAAGAGAACGTCATAGTAAGTACAAAAACGTCGACCAAGCTTATGAACGACACCGTTTATCCTTTCTTGGGATTTACTAACTTACAAAATTCCAAGTTTTCACATCGAAATTGTGTGTCATTTGCTGACTTGCAAATTGCGACATTTCTTTGCTGAAACGTGTTATTGTTATTAGCAAACTAAGTTACAACAACTTAACTACCCGCAGATGGCAAACACTGTTCGAGGAGGTAAAAACTACTGCATAATGGAGAAAATTAAAGAAAGAAAAACACCAAGAATTGTTACCTTAACGGTTCAATCTGAAAGTTTTACCACACAAGATCAAAGAAAGGAGGGATTAACCAAAAGCAAAACTGCACGGAATGTGGAAATTGTTGTGGGATCTGAAGAATTTCAGTGCAGCACTTGCTTTAAATTCATCAAGTCGAGGAAGATGAGAAACTCAACTTGCATGTCATTTAGAGGGAGATGAACTTTGACCAATAGTAAATACGGAATCAGTTCAGAATCATAAAATGTGCTTGATTGTATCGTAGTGATGTAAATGAAAATTCATTCTTATTCTATAGTTATCTAAATTTCGTCATGAATGAATTTTAGTTTCTTTTAATTGGTATGGCCTCTCTCCCGAGGAAGAACGCCCAGTAGTAATTCTTACTGAATTGTTCCCAGGTAACTAATCCCTAAGGAAAGAATGCAACGTAATATTTCTTTGGACGACCGTTGACCAATCAATAAAATTACAATTAAATTTCACCTTTAAAATTCAATTAAAATTGAAATTTAAAAAATTAAAAAATAAAATTCATTCATAGAGCGCCTTACTCCACTAATTGTCCATGGCACTTTTCAATACTAATGAAAAATAGCAGGATAGAATAAAATATTAAACACAATAAAAATGCGAATGAAAATATTAAACCGTGCTATGAAATAAACCCTGTAGTTCAAATCAAATGCGTCCTCAAAGAGATGCCGTGGCCTGAGTTTACAAATAATGCACTTGATGTCTGCTTATATTTAATGGTAATTTAATTATTCCATTGTTTCGGTCCTGCTGTAGAGTATGCCTTATAACCATATGTATCACTACCGTAAACTTCCGAAAGTAGCGAGCCCTCCGAAAGGAAGCGAGCCCACCCTTTTCCCCCACCGAAAATAGTGAGACCAAGGCTAAGTGGTGTGTCTACTTTTTCAGTCACTAGTTAGGTGAAAGTTACCCAACGGTCACTTGATTTAAGGCACGCCACAACAAGGGTAGGTATCGCTTGTGCCACGAAGTGTTGTTAAATGTCAATTCGTGCTTCATCAGTTTATTTTGCGCCGTGTTTTAACAAAACCCGTAGAATTTCACCAAGTAACAGGAACGTTTTAATAGGAACTTTTATTTAAATTAAAATTGACAACTCTGTACCATTTTCAATAGGAGCGTACTAAAAGGAACGTTTCTTCAAATTTAAATTGAAAACTCGACCGACACACTAAGATATTGTTACAGCAGATTAACATAGCAGTGCGTTATGACTGAAACAGTTTACAGTATCTGACCAGCTTTGCAGCTGCGACCACTGACAACACGGTCTAGTAGCCGACCCATGCGGCAGGGACATGGATTTAAACTGGAACGAAGAACTTAGTTTGATGTTAAAAGAACTGTTTTACGAATTTCCGTCTTTTATTTTGTTAAAAGAGCTCAGTCGCACCAACTTCATATAACGGTTTTTGCTCCCCGATAATAACGAGCCCCCGATAGTACCAACCCCAAAGGCTACTGATTCCGAAAGTAATGAGAGTCGTTACTATCGGAAGTTTACGGTATATTAGCAGATGCATTCGCAGGAATGAGCAAGTTGTGTCCATCTCAATATTAACTGCGTTTTCATTGAGAGTGTTTATATTTCAAAACTTGTAGTCTAGATTTGAATTATTTCTTGAGAAAGCAGTACTTGGTATTTGGAATCCTTCCTTATCTTTCACAATATAACTGAGAAAAGAACTTCATTGTAATTGGCCAAGGAAGACTGGCAAACAAATTTATCAATAATCTTTTATTATACTGAAATGCAAATTATTAACCACCTAACGTCTAGACTCCCATTCTTTTAAAGCTCATTTTGAAACAAAATCCCTGGAGATTTCATTTCTGCATTTCAAAACCAAAAAAGATACATCGATAATTAAAAATTATTCCGCGAACCTGCGTTGGCTTAAATCATCTCATATCCAACAAGCGCGGGTGGAATAATTGTTTTATTAAAAACAGGTGTCAGAATGTAGAAAACTGAAATAAAACAGAAACAAAAACGCCTCAAAAAATTACACGTGCGCCTACCATATTTGTATAGCATGATATAGTTGCTCATCTAAAAATATTTGTTAATTTAGTTACAGTGTCCCCAATTAGCACAACAGTGCTAAATACATTCAGGACAGAAGTTATTTATTTATTTATTTATTTATTTATTTATTTATTTATTTATTTATTTATTTATTCATTCATTCATATACCATGATGGCTAAGCTAAACCTCTGAAAACTCTTGAATAACATCATCCAGTGATCTCATGTTTTAAAAAATTGGACTATGAACCCAAATTAAATGACTTTATTATCCAATGGGAAAGCTGATCCGAAAACTTTCATTACTCATCAACATACAAGATACATATGTAAAATAACAATTCTTCCATTTCTGGCATAGTAAAATTTGATTTGTGTTATCTTTAGCTCAAGGACACGTCCAATATCTGTAAGTTTTTGCATTTAGTGACAAATTATGTCAAGTGGCCTGTCTTGCTTATCATCTCTTAAACTGTAAATCCTTCCCAACCAGGCCCCCCCCGCTCCCCCCGCCTTCCCACTTAGCTCAAGGTCTGGATCCGCAAATAATTCCAACCAGAATCACAGAGAGGAAAACAATATAATTACAGTAACATTTCAATATATATTCATTAACTGCCATTTCAGCACCCCATTTTCAATTCTCTATTAATCCAATCAAATAGAGATAACTGATCACGTGACTTAAATATCTAGCACTTAAGTTAAGGTCATTACGTTTCATATTGTTGCCAAATTTGAGAATGTTTTAGTATATCGCTGAAAAACTGATTGCTTTCGGATTTTATGCAAATTAGGCTTTGAGCCATGCTTGAGAATTGTTGCTTTCCGCCCTAAGTAAGTTTTCCCCATGGAAAGATTCAAGAGAAGTGCACAACAAAAACTCATGGAGACAGTTTAAGAATGAAGAAAACAGACATTTAGGAAGTCAAAAAGCCAGATTTGATGTCCCAAATTTTGACCAATAGAATTTGTCTCCTTTACTGACCCAAGAAGGGTACAATGTTTACGGACATGTGAAATAGTAATGTAATATTTAATAATTTGGATATTTTCTCAGAATTTTTGAAGTCATACTGTATTTGAAGGGGACGGTGCGTTTGAATAATTATGCATGTTAAAACTCTCTCGTTAAATGGACAGCACAAGTCTCTTGTAAAACTTCAACGACATACATGAGAACACGAAAAGCTTTTCAACTGAAGGCTGTCAGAATAAATAAATGTTATTTGCCGGCCAGGAGGTTTGTATTGGAAAAAAGACTGTGCCCGAGGTCTTGAGTATCTGTATCCTCGTGCTCAAGACCGAGGATACAGTTTTTCCCAACATGGACCGCTTTGAAAGCAACATTCGTGTGTAATTAAAGCCGTTCAGTTCAAATCTGGGCGGGCGTGCGTTGGACATTTCGGACACAAAAAGCGATACTGTTTGCTGAATTAATTGTCTCTAATATATTGCTTTACGGTGTATCAAAAAGCTTGAAAAGTCGCCGAGAAGACGTCATCTCTTGATAAAAGCACGCGCATATTCTTACAATTACCTGGATCATTACCATTGAAATTTTCCGGTTTATAATAAATAAACATCTGCTGCTTCTTTCTTTGCTCTTTTTTTATTTGTGAACCACTAAAATTCCATGAAATTGTTAAAAGTATTTGACAGAGTTATTGAATTTTCTAAGTAAGAGTGGACCATTCCTGCTGTCTAAGTTCCACTCTACGAATCTTGCCACTGACTGTCTTGGGTAAACTTTCTACAAACTCAATCTGCAATGATATGTAAATAAAGAGTTATGTAATACCCTTATTCCTTGCATAAAACATGAAACATAAGTTCAATTAGAGAACGGGTTTATTTATATCAGTAAAATATATGTTGCTTTATCAAGGTGGTTAAAAAAATTACTTGGTTTTCACATGACGTCATCGCCGCTATATTGAATGACATTAACAAAAGATACTTCCTTCTTTTGCTTGTGTCATCCAACATGGCCGACAGGTTATGTCATTTGAATCCCTCGGAACTGGCTGCAAATCATCTATAGTGCTTCTAGCTTGGCATTTTAATTTCTGTGGTGCGTCAGAGTAACGTTGGTCAGACTGTGATCAACCGGGAGAGTTAGAATGTTTACATTTATTTTATTTTATTTTATTTCCTCAGTGATTGTTTCAAGATACATATTGCCCTTTGAACAAGATTACTGATATACCTTTCTCGGATACTTATATGATGCTGTTGTTTCTTTGACGTGATCTTTTAATTCCTTCACTAACGACTCTTTGTCTCCAGAGAAATGCGGCGAGAGAATAACGAAGGCTTTCACCACCTAGTGAGAATAATAAACCAGAAAAAAAAGCTTAAAAAATTACAGGATATTTAATATCATCATCATTTTTTTATTATTTGCCACACCGCAAATAATAATAAAATATAATAATAACAAACAACAAGGCGGCGAGGAAACCTTCAAAAAACTACGAGGCTTTTATAGTTTTGCGTGCGCAGCATGACCAATTCACCATTGTTTCATCGGTTTTACCTTAAGGCTGGAGAGCCTTTTTGAACTAGTTATGGATACTGGTAGAGAATTCCAAATTTTAGGGCCTTAACAGAGCATAGTAAATTGCTTAAAATTTATGCGACAATGGTGTGATCGATAACTACTGGCTGTTCTTGTGCCATATCTGTGTACTCGACTATTTGGTACAAATAAACTGAGAAACATCAGGGGCAACAATTGGTAGTGATAATGAAAAACAAATTTAGACACTTGAAATGAGTTGACTTGAAAACAAACAAGGGAGCAGAATGCGCTCGATGGTCCGATTTGGTAACCTAAGTTTCCCTTCTCAGTGCACAGCCGTGACATAATCGACAGTCGTATCAGTACCAATGTTTTCAATTTATGTTTTCTCCCATAATTATCCTCACGATTTGTACTTGTAACACCTAACTAACCTCTCCCCTGACAGCATCAGGGCTACTAACAACAGCAGCCTCTGCGACTGCGTGGTGTTCAATCAAGGCACTTTCTACCTCAAATGGACCAATACGATACCTGGAAACATCAGGGTTAAAGCAAGTTTTCTTACAGACAGATTACCGTTTGCAAACTGGAATCGAATTACAAGATCTAAAACAAACATGATATTAATTTTATTCAAGAGCAAAACAAAATATGAATAGCTTTAGCTAACTACATGCACCAAGAATAATGTTTGAAAAAAGAAATATTTCCTAAAACATCTGTTAGGTACAAACCCAGCTGAGAGTATGACGTCATCAGATCGACCCACAAAATATAAGTAGCCATCTTTGTCTCGCGTAGCTCGATCGCCTGTCATAAATGTGAAAATTTGTAGAATGTGTAGAATCAGTAATAAAATGAGTATGTCAGTGGCAGAAAAGACTGATTTATAAAGATTGCTGGTGAGTGTTATCCCGGTCCAGTGCTGTTATCGGATTAAATTGGATTATTTTACCTGTCCAGTACAAATTATCGTGAAGCACGGAGGATGTTCTATCGCCATCATCCTGTACAAAAATGAGTAAATATGTACATCTTAAAATGCCAACAATGAAAACTAGAAAAAGAAAAAGAAAAGGGAAGAAATTGTCATTTGTAACCCACCACGTAACGAGTAAAGAGTCCCACAGGTCTGACCGGCGACAGATCCACGACAATTTCACCCTCCACTCCCACGGGGCACTCATTACCTTGTCCATCTACGATCTGCATAAGATATAATAGAACAGAAGTTTATGATAAACTCCCAGATTGTTATAATACCCCCTGACTTGCACGACGGAGAATAGCACTACACTATGTCGTCCCGGTATGCGGCGATTAATAGAGTAAAAACTGCGCCTGATTAAATGCTGAGTTCGGGAACAAACTATTATGCTTTGCGAATTACAAAAATGCTCGGAAATACCAACCTTCAAGTTATACCCAGGGGCGGGTTTCCCCATCGATCCAGGACGGTTTTCAATACAACGAAATGACCCACACATAAGCGTCTATAATTAGAGATAAAGGACACCTGCATCAGAAATGTCAAGAAAGCAGACCTTGAAAAGTGCTAAATGGCACTCCCTGAAATAGACGTTCTCATCTCGATTAAAAAACTTTAATTTGCAAACATCATTGTACTGCATTTCTCAAAACAATCCTAGCAAGCGGCTTTCAACGAAGGACTTGTTTCAACATTTAAGATAATAATTGTAATGTAGACCAATTTTGTAAGGTAATTAGGTAATTTCGCTGATAAGTGGGTTAGTTGTATCTGTAAGACCACTTTTATAATGTCTGTTATACTCTGTTTATGTGACGCAAGTAACAGTAGAAGTTGATTAAGATAATGTGTTTCGAAGTTGATTGATTAAATATCTGACTGACTGACCTACTGTACAACCGAGCGATCGATCGATCGATCAACTGTAACTTGCATTGATCCTAACGAAGACAGCGCACAGTTATCAACCAGTAAACACGACACTCATGACGTTATTTCTAAGTTTATATGGAGAAGTACTAATCAAAAGCCTCGTAACCGAATAACTTCACTATGAGCCATGCTTGTCTAGACTTCCTCTTAACTTACTGTCTCCGTCTGACCATATCCCTCTCTAATCTCCAGCCCAGTTCCTTCTCTCCACACATCAAACACCTCTGGATTCAAAGGTTCTCCAGCGCTAAGACAGTGTCTTAACTTTGGAAATTTATAGCTACGGAGATCTTCTTGGATCATCATTCGATAGGCTGTAGGTGCTGAGCAGAACGTGCTGACAGGGTACTTTTGCAAAGCATCCAAGATAGCCACCGGTTCAAAACGCGCCTTGTGGTACACGAATACGCAGGCGCCTTGACTCCACGGGCCGAAGACGCTGCTGTACGCAGATTTTCCCCAGCCCGTGTCTGAAATGTTCCAGTGGACATCGTCAGGTACGTTGTCTAACCAGTACCTGCAGAACGAAGACAGTTTTTTTTTATAATAAAGTTCGGGGGGAGGGGATGGGCTGGAAAAATCAAATCTATCGTGAAAGCATTTTCAGTAGCCCACCCTCGTAAGTGCATGATTAAACATAGCCCACCCTTGAATCCTTACACCAGAATCTGTCCCCCCCCCCTCTCCAGTGACACCAGTGCTGATGAAACTAATGACGACGAATGGTGATGATGTTTTGGGTTTTTAAAGCATTAATAGCAAAATGTACTTACCAAGTTCGATAACGCTGCATAATGCTGATTGTCTATTTTGCATTTAGATGGCTATACTTTAGATGCAGCTGTCAGTTAAGATTGTATTAAAACTGTCTCATTTATAAAAGGTTCATCTGATTATGGTCTTTCTCTGCTTGTTATTTTACAACTTAAGACAGCATTAAAGTAATGATATGCAATTAAAATCAAACTCTTGCTATATAATGCAACAGAGTACTTTAAAAGCTGCTAAAATGTTGCTGTTTGTGCTTAAATTTATGCACGAATGCTAATCAGTTAACTAGTTCGGGGACAAACATCGTTCTAAAGAGGATGGGATTGTCAATTTCATAACTCTGTATTCAAGTTTCAAGTTTGAGTAAAGTTGGAGGTAGAGTTTTGAATTAGGTTTTGGGTTACTGAATTGCGATTACAGTTTCTGCGGCTTTTCAAACATTCTCTGTTCCTATATAAAACTCAAACTCAAACTCTTGCTGGGTGGGGTATGGAGGTATGCCCCCACTTAGGAAATTTTCAAAATGTAAAACACTCAGAAACGCTGTTTCCAGTGTTTCTGGGACCCACTAATCAGTTCCCCAGCCAAGACTGGAGTTCACTTAAATTCTCTCTCAAAAAAAATATTTAGTAAACAAGGACAGTTAGTTGGGGAAGGGGAAGCCGTACGCGTAAACTAGACTTTACTGGAGCTTACTTTCCAGTGATAATGTGGCCCAGTCCACAGCTGGCGTGTGTGTGTTCTGCCATCTTGGGAAGTCCTGTTGTTCCACTCGTAAAGAAAACTGTCATTGGCTCACTACTGAGTGTTTTTGCACACTGCGTGATAGAAAACACTGAAACGTTAATAAGTTAATAAGGCCAGTTAATAAGTACTTTGTAAATCTTCCAGAGTCTGTTTGTTTTCTTTGTTTTGCTTTGTTGTTTTTTTCTGTTTGGAGAAGAAAGTAATACGTACTGCCTTGCCAAAAAGGGATCAAAGTATCGCCAATAGACTGTGCCAAAAGTAAATAAAACTGGGAATACCCAGGACTGTGAAAACGACGTAGAATGGAAAAGTCGTACACCTACACGTTCTCGTTATCTTACCTCTATCAGAGGATCTCTAAAATAGCATTAAGCGAGGGAGCTTCATTTCCATTAAATATCATGTCCGTACAGTACGAATTGGTGTATTTAACTGGATCATGGGGATCAACTTTATCAGTTGGCTATGAGATTCGTCCAGCTTGTTAGCCAAGCCACACGCCTTGGGATCTCTGATTTCTCAAGGTAAAGCTGAGTCACTTATTCAGGACAACTATATTTGCCTATGACTAGCTATCCTGAAAGAGTACTTAAAACCAACCTCTTGCTCTGGCGAGGCTCGTTTGTACAGTTCTTTGAAAGGAAGCCAGCCTTTCCTGAGTACAAAACAAAACATATGTTGATTCAGAAATGTGGGAATTACAAGTCTAAGGCCCCTTCCACACTACGCCAGAGAAATCTGAAAACGCAGCTATATTTCTACGGTTTGGCGTACCGTCCACACTACTAAATTTGTCACGAAAACGGAGCTTTACGAAAACGATGAGGTCAGGACAGTCATGTGATTTTTCTGTCCCAGTTTTCTTCAAACGCAAATCCAAAATGACCGGTAACTGCTGCGTTTTCAAATTTCTCGGGTGTAGTGCGGAAGGAGCCTCAAAAGAAGTGCAAAAACCCCCGGGGTAAAACCCCAAATAACAGGATGAGCTGGGGAACAAACTGAAACAGAAATTGCATGTTTCACAAGTATCCTTGATTATCGTAACTTAATGAAGAAAGACCACAAAATCGCTTTCATTTGGCAAAAAATGGCGTAACACTGTATAGAGAGAGAATTTTTTTAGGCATGTAAGTAATTATCAATATATAGCACTTTATATGAGACGATTGACCATACCTTTCCTTAGTTTCTTGCTCTTCGCTTACAAGTAACTTGGTTTTCAAATGTGGTGAAAAGTTAGCAACCTGCAAATGAACGAAAAATAATTCAAAGTCTACTATTGGAGACGTCACACGCCCCGTTACTGACGTGTAAAAGTAAGCGATATTAAACGGATGCACCTTTGTTTCACACCGTGTTGATCTACTTGATAGAATTCAAAACCATCCATGCCCACTAGCAGCTGTTCTTGTTCAAAACCTCTGTGCTTGTCACTTTAACGACTTGTTTGTGTCCTTTCTGACATTTTTTTCCAACGAACCTGAAATTTCTCACGTTAATTCATGTGACAAGCTTGGACGATTCTATGCTCAAACAGCTTGGTCATGTTTGGCTCATTTTTTATACATATATTATATAAATGAGCGCAACTGGTTTTTAACTTTCGAACCTCCGAAAGACAGCCTTTGACCGAATTAGAGTAACGGTTGGTTTTAAGTATCAGCCAGGGTTCAAGATCGACCAAGCCCGACTGGCTGTAGCGGATAACAAATTAAGCGGGCTTTTGTTAGAGTTTTTACAAGCTATTCGGCGGGGTGTCACTCTAAAACTACAACAATAACTAGTTACCTCGTCTACAAACTCAGCACTTTCAGAATCAGCAATAATACAAGTCGCTTTGGAAGCCAGCAGTCGCGACTTGATGTCCTTGGCTCGCAATTGAATTGATCCAGGACTGATGACAGTACCTGACAAGATTGAATGATCAGAGTTACCGATATCCTTATGCAAAAGCGATAACGGTCAAGCACTACGTAATATAACAGGGTTCTTCATTTTTGTTAACAAAGGCCAGAAAGGGGGAATACATCATGTCCTTTTGTCCTTCGGAAAAAAGTGCACGCAATTTCACGCCTCGTCCACACTACGCCGGAGAAATTTGCAAACGGCGTTTTCACTCCGAAGACGCATGAGATGTTTTCCGTCCACAATACGTTGGAGAAATTTGAAAACGCAAGAATCCCTGGACATATTAGAATTGCGTTTGAAGAAAACTCTGGCAGGGAAATCACGTGATTGCCGTGACGTCATCGTTTTCGAAAACCTCCGTTTTCAAAATTTTTTCTGTCCACACTAAAACG